TCCTAGATACGCCACTGTTCATTCTTGCCCATATTCTCCCACAATGGCTATCTCTCTATTTGTCATTGATCTAAACAGTTTATATTGACAGATTTGCAATACCTGTATACCGTACATCTAGGCCTATGCTGTTTTAATTAGAATTTAAGTGCTGTTTTAAGTCATTTCTATTGTAACCATGAAGAGGGGAGCAGGTGCTTCCGGAAATTTGGTTTTTCGAAGTACTGTAGTCAAAGAATGTTATTTCTTTTCTGCCTACTTAAAATTTCGACTTACAGATTTTTAATTAATGGAAACACAACAATTTTGCATTTAAATAAGTTTGAATTAGAAGTTAATCGAGTTAGACAAAAATCATAATTCAGTAATACTAGGGGGAAAAAAACAATTGGTTTCAACTTATCTGTATTGAATTGATTCAACCACACCCTGTAATCTACACAAGCCTTTGAACCTTTTTATCTTTTATTTAACATTAATGCAATATAAATGAAAACAGCTAAGACCTTCAAAAAGAAAAAGCATGATCCCATCCTTATTATACCGTACCCTCACCTTTGACAAAACAAAAACCCCCGGCCGGCTCTATATACAATACTTTCATCTTCACAATTCCTAAACGAACCATTACTACCATAAAGGCCTGTTTATACTTCCAACGATAACAATAACAGTAAAAAGCTGAAAAGCATTTGTTCATTTAGAAAATAAAAGAAATAAGCGAAGTTATTACACTAGGACTATTCGACAGCGACTTATCGTGCCTTAACAAAATATTTTGACAAATCAATTCAAATGATATGATCATGGAAAAGGATAAACTTTTCCATGATGACGTCATTTGAATTGATTTGTCAAAATATTTTTATTTTATACACGATAAGTCGTTATCGAATCGTCCTAGTGTAATAATTTCGCTTATTTCTCTTATTTTCTATATGAACAATTGCTTTTTAGCTTTTTATCGTTATCGTTGCAAATATAAACAGGCCTTTACACCCTAAGTAAGACAAAATTTCTTCCTGACTCAAACAATATAAAACTCGTACAAAACACACAATTATCAATACAATAAAGCCGGGCACTCACACTGCGGCCGACAAGATTCTATGACGAACGCAATGCCAAAACACGTGCATGATTCGTTTTGAATTTCGATCCAGTCAGATTGCCACTGACGATCACATCAGAAGATGGTGTCACATCGTCTAGGGCTCACAGAAAGCCAAGTTTGATTTATCCGTCGTACAACGTAGTGAGTGCCCGACTTAAGGCATCACAAAATTTGACAAACAAAGCTACAATTCAATTCATACTTGTTACAATATCAAGCCACCAATAGCAAGAGCAATATGGAAATGTCCACAGAAACAAAAACCACTGTAATCGTATATATACAAATACAAAGGGGCGGATCAAGAATTCTTTTTTAACGTTGGGGGGGGGGGGAACAATATTTTTTTTTCAGATAAATGATTTCCGATTATTTCAATACATAATATTTTTATGCATTAAATTATAAAATTCATTACCAAAACCGGTTGAGGGCTACTGGATCCGCGCCTGAAAATATACAAAGCCTACAACGATGAATAACATATATAATCGCGGGTTACATGTGCTTTAAAAGAATTAAAAAATGTCAGGTGTTGTGACAAAATGAGTTTGTTGTACACTAGGTCAGTAGAGGCCTAGTACAGCATCCAACAAAATATTTTTACAAAAATCCGGTTTCAGTGCTGATTAAGTTCAATGAACATTACACGATTTAGGTGTTCTGAGTTGATTTATACTAGAATAAACTTGTCTAGGGTCACATTTTGCAGCTTTTTCATAATTGATAGGAAAACAAATACAAATTTTATTAGTTTTTATCTTAAGAGGCGATTTTCTCCTAAAGTATATTTTCAGACATCTGGATTTGAAAATGATCTTACTCCGATTGTATTCAACCTGCTTGGTACATATACCACAATACACATGTAAATGTAGATTCAGATGTAGGGGAAAACATGAGAGTTGCAGCTTTTAGGCTGATTGCTCACAGGCGAGGACTAACTCAATTAACAACTTTCTTCTTCCCTAAGAGTTACATCATGTCCAATAAGCTTCTGAGAGGCGCACATTCGCCTGCCAACAACGACAGTGGCTTAATAGACCAGTACACCGGAGTAGCCCCTACCCTTCTCGAAGTATGCACTGATTTCTTTAAAGTGCACACGAGCCAAATGTGTGCACACGAGCCAAATGTGGACACATGGCCTACAGTTTAGAGTTCTTATCCGAGAAGACTGGAGCCACCACCAGAACCATAGGCGATCAGCATGTCGTTCAAACCAACGCCGGTATTATGGATGTATGTTTATTATGATTTGACTCACCAAATTTAGTGACCAAAAGTAAATGGTGAGATAACAAGAGTAGTTGCAAGTAGCTTTTAAAAGCTTAATACGGTACTAAATAATATTATTTAATCTTCAAAATCATACCAGATGTTGCGAGGCGATGAGACATATCAATAGCATCGATATGGTATTTTCAAATGTAAACATTTTTTCTACTTAAAAATCTTTTAAAATAATGTGTGTTACAATTTAAAAAAAAACCTGGAATATTTCAAATCCTTTGCAACAACAAAAATAGGCCAAAAAATAAAGCGCGTGCTGACTGACTTGACAATTTTTTTTTTCTTGTTTTTTTTGGCTACTTTCAACTCATCCAAGATTTCTGTGTTGTCAATTGACTTGAATAACTAACTGTACAAATATAGCAGATTGATCTAGCAGCTTTCTGCGTTGGCAATTCAATTGATAACTTACTGTAACTAGGACATGTCTTATCTAGCATAGGTCTTATCTAGCACAGCATAATATTTTGTAAATTTGCTTTTCATTTTTATCTTTAGCTCAAGACCCATCCTATCATTCTACCACCAGATTTACTCTTAGCAGATTTACTCTAACAGGGTCAATTGCAAGACGATAGCAATATATCTACATTGCACCCCAAAGGGCAGTAGACACCAAAAACGAATACAATTAACATAATAATTATTAAAATTTCTCAGCAAATTCATATTCATACATTTAAAACTAAATTTTCGTTTTTATAGAAATAATTAAGTAAAAAAAAAAAACACCTTGTATTTAATATTGCCTTTTAACCATCTCAAGGCGCTTTTAAACCACTAAACAGCTACTACACACAATACAATAAATATTGAATGAGACAGAAGTCAATATAACCATAGAGAAAATAGTTCAAAAAAGGAGCAAAATTTTAAATGGGTGGTTTCTCAGATGTATGACAATTGCAGCATAATTTGATAAGGATGGTCAGGATGATGATGATCATCATAACAATGATGATGATGAAGATGATGTTATTGTTTAAGCTGATGACGATGGTTATATCACATTATTGACTGATTTACTGTACATTTTAATTTGCTTTTTTTTAAATATATCACTAATGGCAACAATTGCACAGCTTGATTGATGACAGCAGCAGCCACAGCGACGATGACAATGCTGAGAAGAATTAACATTTTTTTGAAATGTTAATGATGATGAAGAGGACAAGGATAGTTGATTGGCATATACTCGTCTATTGCTGGAATGTTTCATCTAGTATTTCAATTTCTTTTTTTGGTCACCTGTAGACAGGAATGAAATAAGAACATTTTAGATGCATAGCTTATAACCTACCCACAAAATTGCAGTAAATGAGAAATCCCAACATCATCATTAATAATCATAATCAGGGGCATATCCAGTAGGGGAAACAGGGGGAACTATTTATTCTGAAAATGTTGTCCAAGTGCACAAGCTTTATGTAATGGTTTATATTCCACCATTTACTTACCCTGTCCTTTGGCGCTTGCCATGCTTGATATGCCACTGTCCTGAGAGACCATGGACTGTGCGTAATCGTCCTCGGAGCTACATGAATCACTACTATGTCGCTTTCTAGCGATCAATTTTTCTGTAGGCTCCTCTGTAATCTGCATCGATACATTTTCATCAACTGATTCATCTAGACAATAATAGTGATAATGTTAGACTTATATAGTGCAAAAGGCTGGAGCTTCAATGCACTTTAACATTAAATATTTATTTAATTTAAATAATATGCTATAACTCATTGTGCAAGAGACTCTTTTAGGGACATAGGTACTGTACAGGGAGCATAGGGTGTAGACCCTCAAATTAGGAAACTCTCAAATTAAAGCTTCCATTCTACCCTCATCCCAACCTCACCTCATAACACCTCATTTACAAAGGAAAAAAAAAAAAAAAATACACTCAATTAGTCAAAAATCACATCATATACCTTATATTTCACAAGATGGAACTATCCCTCACTTAATCTAAGGGGCCCCCAATCCCCAAACTTATGCGGTCCCCATCAATCCCATTATGCCATCCATATCAATAACATTAGTAATTTTTTTTTTAAATTACAGTACTGTAAAAACAAAAATGCAAACCCTGGTTCATGTGCACTAACAATCTTTACTAAAAGACAGCTTGGGGATGATTTGAGAATAAGAAATCAATAATACGCAAAAATAGAATAGCACAAAAAATCAAGTGCTGGAGGCTTTAGTGTGGTCATATTCTTCATAATGTTCTTCACTGCTAAAAACAATTACAAAATGTGTTTTGGATCAGGGTGACCCCACTTAGACCTAAAATTATATCCGTTAATCAGAACTATCAAAATTATGAATAATTACTTCACAATAATATTATTCGGCAAATAAAGTTGGTTTTAAAAAATCTTTTCTTAATAACCACCGAACAATTTTACGCGTTGCCAAGTTTTGACAATATGTTTTGTTCTGTTCACTGTGATTTTCATCAATAGCTTTTGTACTCAATTTTACATGGTTAATAAAAAGTTGGTGTACCAAAGAACAGTGCTCCTAAACTACATAAAAGGAAAATGCCCAGGGGGAAACCAGCCTAGATCTGCTTTATTAACACGGCTGATCACAATACAAAAGTCTATGTTTAGAGTCTAGACACATTTTTTTGAATCAAAAGCAAAATTCATTTGGTACATATTTTTCACATGTATATGGTATGCATGAATGAGTCCTGTGTATTTTTATGAGCACTGTTCTTTGGTTCTATGCTGGCTGGCCCCTGGATCATGCAGAATAGTTGTGTACATTGCTAACTGAAGAGAAATTATTTTGGAGAGAAGTGGGATAATTTGATGACATGCAAGATTATTGTAGGGAATAATCGTTGAATAAATTAGAACTAAACCGACATATAGTTTAATGATTTACCTGATGAATCATATATGGCCTCTGCATCGGCATCAGTTACATTCGTCTCTAGTGGTCCCTGTGAAGACTTCCTATCTGCCCTCTTGAATAATAATAAAAAAAAAAATCAAAATATTTTTCACTCTAAAGTCCTGTGGTAAAATATTATCTGATTGCTAATGGATTATTAAACATTTCATTTTACTGTAATTAAAAACAACTATAGTCATATTTAATTAGAAATTGATATATTAAATATCCATTATTTAACAAGTTATAAAAAAGTTGTATGAAGCAACGTGTTCTCCCTAGCATCATGAGCAAGCGTCATGGTAAGTGTTAAGTCCACCATAGTTGGGACTGACACAAGGTATTTTTAATAATTAGGAGGCATTGAATTGTACCATGGTACCATGATGCTTCAAGGGCCTGGGGAGAACACTGTGAAGTGAATAAAGATTTCATTTCGTATATTTACAATTATCATAATCTGTACAAGCAATTATTTATGGAAACATTACAATTTTCAAGACATTGAGAATTCATACAATACAGTGAAAATTAATTTTAAAAAGTAGTAATATATAAGAAAGTAAAATTACACACATTAAAATCAATTATTTAATCATTGATAAAGAACTGTAAAATTGTAATTGCAAAAAATTTAAAATTGTTATTTTATTAATTTCTATTACTATTATTTTACTGTTATTATTACTATTATTTATGTAAACATTCACTACTACTGTATAAGTTTAGTATTATATTTTATAATTATTATCATCACTATCACTGTCCCTATTAAATTATGATAACCATCGCCAATCACTATTACCGTTTCACATTATAAGGTTATCAGCACTTACATCAAAGCGTCTTTTATAAGCTGGGTATTTCATTTTTTGGCTGGTTTTAATGAGTACAATCTGTATCTTTCGTTTGAGATTCTCCCAGTCTACGGAGTGTGGTTTTCCCAGCTTCCACAGACGCTCCTCAACCTTCAGCGCCCCCTCAAATTTTTGTTCAGCTACCTTTAGGTCTCCTCGTTCGTTACGCTCCAGGTAGAACAATCCCAGAAGATAGTATGCTCGTGCTGTGTCTGTGTGGTCGCCTAGCAACTCGACACGGCTTGTGACACATTTCTTTCCCAAATCAATGGCATCTTCATATCTGAATAAGAATATAAGATTAAAATTAGATTAGAATTAAAAAGAAAGGGCCACTATATAGTTTTTTAATCACAATCATTTAATTATTTTCGACATAAACTTTAAATGTGGAATTATATAGCTTAGTTGGCGATTGAAAGCCGTATTCTAAAGTTTTTTCTCAAGTTTATTACGGTATTCTGGCATTTGTGCTTTTAAGGATGATAAAAAATGACAATAACTGGTGTCATCGTTACTGCTAAGTTCTATAAAATCATATTTGTATAACGTCTACATTAATGGATCACATATTATTATTATTATTCATTATCTTATTAATATTCAATATTATTGTTTATATTATTTTGATTTATACAATTACTATATTGCTATCTATATTATTTGGCCTATCATTATGATTATTAATATTATAATAATGAATTGAGGGCTAGTCAGAAAGCATGAACATCACTGATGGCAGAGAAATCTGAAGGATGAATTTTTTCTCAACAATGAAGTAGGTTAGAAAAATGTACCAGAATAGTCATGTAGATAAACGTTATTGTCATGACCACAAAACAAGACGAACATAACATTTTGTAAGGTGCACTGAAAGAAAAGCTCCCTAAGGAAAACAAATCACTCAAGAATTTAATTATAGAAATTGACAGTTGCTGTTAAACATTCTGATGGCGAAGCCAATTAAAAGTATGCACAGAATAACAAAAAAATGGGCTCAATCTCTAATAATGTCAGCTAGATTATGTATAAAACTTTTACATTAAATAAAATAATAACATTGTTACCTGCCGACATCCCGGTATGCAAGTGCAAGGCTTCTGAGCGTCTTCAGTCGCCCTTCCTCATTTTCAAGCACCATTTCATCTTCCACCTGCAAGGACCTTTTGTAATACTCAATAGCTTTTTCAATCTCTTCTAAATGATAGTAACAAGCCCCAATGTTTGCTAAGTACACTGGAATATCTGGGTGATTTTCTGATCCGGTTAGGTCTTTTCTTAGATTGTATGCCATGTTGTAAAAATCCATGGCTTCCTTCAGTTTGCTTTTCTCAAAGAGATCATTGCCTTTCTGAAGCCTTGCATTTTCCTTTATCACATCTGCCATTGTGCTGTAGAATCTAGCAGTATTGGTGTTCTTCAGATTTAGTTCTTTTACAAGAGCATATGCGATTTGAATGCGCTCATTGGCATTGTCTAAATCATATCCGCATGTTGTACAAACATTTCCCCAAAGATGATAAAGTAAAAAAAGTTTTTCTTTTTCACCAGCATTCAAGTTTTGGATGTGCTTTTTGGCAAAATAATTTTCAGCTTTCTTTTTAAATAATGTACTGCTTAAGGATCTTTTATCAGTATGTATTGGTTTTGTGTTTGTAGCTTTCAGCAACACTTGTTCAGCATTTTGAAGCAGTGGTAGAATTTCTTCATAGTGATAATTAATTCTGGACATCTGCAACCCTTCATATGCTGACATTTCAACAAACTCAAGTGTGCTCTGGTTCTGTTCTGCAAGCTGTCGCTGGGCTTTGAAAAACTTCAGTCTTTCTTTTGTAGAATAAAATAGTTCAATTGTACTAGCTAACTTTCTCCATTCGTCAGTTTCAACATCTCTCTTCTGTTTTGGTAGTAGCCTTAGAAGCTCTTGAAAGTTGGCAGCATCATCATTCTTCTTTTTTATAGCTTTTTTGTAATTTTTCTCTGTCATTTTTCCAATTTTTTTCAGCTTTTTTAAATAATAGTTAACAAACTCCTCTTCTCCTTGTCTGTAATGGATTGTTATGGACTTGTTACTCCTGGCTATCTTTTGTAAGAACTGTCGCATAAGTAGATGAAGCCCATAGCGTATATCTGACTTGTTGACGTCTTCGTCGTCGTCAATTAACGTTTCAATTAGATTCCTGTATTTTAAGTCTTGAAGCTGAAGGTTGACTTCCACTTCAGGAACTTGCTTCATTCCCAAAACTGCTAGAGCTGCACGACTGGTGAATGTACCGGGAATTGCGGACAGTCGAACCATATGGAACTTCTGTTTGTCAGGCAGGCTGTCAAACGTGTTCTTCAAACATGCTCCCAGGTTTATGCCACCATATAATTCAAGACTAAAAACGTTGTCGGATTTGTTATCTAAATACTCGATCAATTTTTTAGGAGGTATAGAGCGGTCCTGCAGACGACTACCTGTGACTTTCAAGGCTAAGGGGCACTTTCCACATAAGTGAATGAGTCGCTTTGCATCTTCACCTGATATTTCAGTCTTGCCAGCAGAGTATTGGAGGATATCTATTGCATCACTATCTTTCAGCTCATCTGCCCTGATTGGAATTTGAAAGACACAATTATCATAGTGGGTGCATAGATCTTGTGGCAATCCCATTCTGGTTGTGATTAACACCTTCAGGCAGTCGTTGCCACAATCAATGATTCTTTCAATTAGTTCAACAAAAGTGTTGTACACATCATCGTTTACGCCTTTTTCTGGGGTTCTTAGAGGGCGATCGGCATTGTCAAACAAAAGTACAGCGCCACCTGTTAGGATAAAATGATTAGCATCAGTTATAATTTATATTCAAAAAGTTTCTATAAACAAATAATCATCCCAAAGGAATAAGCACAAAGCTGGGCTCACGCTAACCGCTCGCCAAATCGCCGTAGGCGAAAACTATTTTGGATTGGCAAAAAAAAAAAATTAACTGCTTTAGCCATTTTGTTGTACTGTATGAGTAGTCTTGCTGCAAACATCATTGCATGCCTCGCAAGTTATTTTTAATTTTTAATTGTGATTAAAATTTTTATTTTATTTTTTTTTATTTATTCGGTATAAAACACTCAAAATGCAACAAAAGTTAAAAATTTCTTGAGTTTACATATAGAAATAAGCCTACCAAACAGAAAACAGACACGAAACAAGCATAATATAATACAATCAAAAGTGTACGCCTACAGGTAGATGCAGGGCAGCGGCTGTATGAAGTAGACTAAAGGTAGCACTAGCTATTAGAGCTTGGGGTTTTCTACTAAAACTAGTGACTAAAACACATGGGCCGATGTGATGTGATGGTGGTCGAAAGAAGATACCCTAGTATAGTTAATAACAATTTAATCAGTGATTTTGTGTTATTGACAGATACGTAAAATACATTTAAATCATTTGTGTAATAATTTAAGAATGCACCGAGTGGGTCAGTTAGTTACACAGTGTACGTAATTGTGTTGTAAAGAGAGTAATCTCGTAAGCAAGGCTAGGTTAGACAGGGCCAAGATCATGTACGTTCTTGATTATCACGGTAAAAACTTCGGGTGACAGACGATTGGGCCCAACTGGTGTGGACGATCGGGCCCCAAGCCAGTTTGAATATACCGCAGTCAAGTAAACCACTGCTAGCTCCCCACCCCCAATATCGTTACTGGTAAGTAATTTTTTCAACTTTTGTAATAGGCATATTCAGAAAACTTTCAAAGTACCTCTTCATTGGTGTGCTAAAAATATTAATTTGCCTATCAAATAACGTTATCTCTTCCTTCCTTCCTCCTCCCCCCGAACCTACCAGAGATTTTTTTCTGGTACCTCGCCAAGGCAGGGGTGGATTTAAGGGGAAACCCCCTCCCCCTTGTATATCTCTGGATCCAACCTGGCAGGATTCTAGTCGGTCACTTGGTTCAGACTCCACTGTCGAACATGTTGGACCCCATGTCCAGTCAGCAAGTTTTGGCTAATGATTTTTAATAATTTTCGTCAAATTTTAGCTAAAGACAGCTTCAATTGGCTAAAAAAAAATGTTTGACTTTAGCCAACTGGCTCAACCAAAAAAAATGTTAGAGTGATATATCTATTGTCTGTGCTGAATTAAAAAATTAAGGAAATAAGTAAGTATACAGTTAAAAAAATATATAAAAAAGTTCAATAGGATCATGTTTTCTTGTGCCTCAATTTGTTGATTAAGAAATGAGAGAAAATAATCGCATCATACAGACTACATTACACATAATTACTTAGGAGACAGTTAGGGGTCCCACCCGAGAACAACCACGTCAGGTAGGGCAAAATTATACCTATATTAGGAGACACTTAAACGAAACAGAACCACACTCAATGACGCTGCTTTGCCTGGCATCATAATGACCATAGCGGGGGAATCCACGAGGTGAGGGTTAGGTAAGGTGTCTGACATGTCCGAGTAAGTGGTCTGAACCAAGGGGCTGATTAGAGCCTTGGTTGCCGGCCCCGAAAATCCCTGGTAGGGTTCACTGGGAGAGTTTTTATGGCTTAGTAATGGTCCATATGTGCTTTTAGACCACAATATTAGGGACTGGCAATCAAAATAATGTTCTATTTCGATGCATCTATTATTCTAGGAGGTTTCCCATGCAATTTAAATTTTGTTTGTATCCTCCACAAAAAGAAATACATTTTGAAGTTACAGTAGTATTCATTGATTAAGATACTACAAACGGGTACAAACATACGATATGGTCACCTCCTCTCCCTTCTCCAAGTAACGTCATGTCAGCATGTGGCTGAGAATCAACCATGCCTGAGAAAAGGAGGGAAGAGGAGGGGGGACAATCGGCCGCGGCCGATAACGGCGCAGAAACTTGCAAAGCAGCTTGCACCACTGCCGAAATCGAGCTGCATGACCTTGGGGGCTAAAACAATCCCTGGCGGCTGGGATCCCGTAGACACGGGATCCTAAAGCGCAGCAGATGGCGGTGCGGAAAGCGGCAGAGCCGAGTCCGACGCGGATATACCCAATGCGGGAACCGGTGCCCCCGGTCTGCAATGATCAGCCTGCTAAGCTTTAATTGTTAGTTACAAATCGAGATGGCGGCCAACGAACACATATCTCCTTGTAGGAAATTAGTCGGTTTATCCAGGTAAGTATTCACGAAGTAGACTTTATATATCTCAATACCTTTTATCTCATTAACCAAGCTTTTTATCAAAGTTTAATTTTTTTTTAAATTGTGTACTTTTGTTGGCCTAATGAAGTTTTTATACTTGCTGCCCTGAAAATTTTCTATAGAGTACTACTGTACAGTGCTACGTCACGATACCATGTGATACTACTCTGTTGCTATCGTTGCAAAATGCGTTCAACCAGACGCCATTTTCTCCACTGACAAACCATTGATCCCAATTTCTAACGTACAGTAATTATTAAGATGTTGTATCTTACTTTTTCTTTTTAAATTTTTAATTGATGGTTAAATGTGTGTTCGATAATTAATATAATGCAAGCTTTTGTGTTTTTAGTACATTTTGATGGTAAAATATTAAGATTTTAAAATGTCATTCAGGCGTAATGAACAGTAACCAACGTTTGTTGACAACGGAGAGCACCATCTGACGTCGTGAAAAAACGACTGTGGTACTCTAAAATTGGAGACTTACTACTGTAGGCAGGCCTAGACTTAGGCCTACACCAGCGGAACCTTTTTGCCTTTTTTTGGGGGGGAAGCAGCCCCCTCCAGCCTACGCCCCTGTAGTGATGAACCAATTGATAACATCTGCCACTATGCAGATTTTTCATGTTAGTAAAATGTTGAGAAAGTTGAAAAAACTTCAAATATCTGTAGTAAATACAAAATTTCCATAGCACCTAATAATTTTCTGAAGTGCAAAATGTGGGTTGATTATATTACTTACAGGATAAAACAGCTGTTTTAAACAAATGGGACAGGATTAAGATTTACGGCCACTTTTTTTTCACAGTAATTTATTATTAATCTGACAAGTACAAGTTGTCTAGAAACAATGTAACCACAGATACTGATGGAAAAGTCATGACTTTAGACCTATTTATTTATGGATTTAGGGCCATGATAAATTTCTGTAGCAATTTTGTCCATTTCCATACCTTTAATTAGGTTAAAATTTAGTACATCTGCTCTATGTGGCACTTTAAAGTGAGAATAAAAAGTATGAATTATTGTTATTATAGAGTTAGTATTCTTCCTTAATGAACAGTACAATGTACTGCGCATTTAATTAATAAGTTACATAGACTTCCGAGGAATTGCATTGATCCTAATTAAGAGATGCATAAAGAATCAAATATAGGACTAAAGAGAAACAATAATGGATAAATATTCTAGTTATAAATTTAATTAAAATTTCATTGATTTTAGATTGTTTTTTTTCATTTATCACATACCTAAAACAAACACAATAAATACATTTCATTTATAAGTAGAGGGCACTCAGAGAGTGCATACCTCCGCCCACATCATAATTCTCCTCAGTATAAATTTTCCCCGCATATTGTCCCTATAAAAAATATAAAATAATGAAAAAAAAAAAATAAGTAGACTCAAACACATATATCACTTTGAAATTAATGATCATGTGAGCTGGTATAAGCACACACACACGTCTATACGGCAAACAGTTATACAAGTTTTTTGATCATTGTGTCTTTCTTTGACCCTGACCCTTCAAAATTTTGTCACTTCCAGATCTCTGGGAACATTGTGGCCAAGTTTGACAAATTTCTGATAAAAACCGTTAAAAAAAAAAATCGTTTTTTGTTGATTGTGACCTTGACCTTCAACCCTTACCCTTAAATATTTTGAGATCTTTGGTTATGGAACATTGTGACCAAGTTTGACATGTTTGTGATTAAAACTATGGCCTGTAGACAAATAAATAAAAATAATAGTTTTTCGTTGACTGTGACCTTGATCTTGGACCCTGACCCTTAAAAAATGTAATCAGCTCTAGATCTTTGGTAAAGGAACAATGTGGCCAAGTTTGACGAATTTCTGATAAAAACTATGGGGTGTAGGCTGTTCACAACAAATATGCCGACAAAAGTAACTTTAAAATAAAAAACCAGGCAATTAAAAACATAACCTCCTGCCAACTTGGTTGGCGAAGGTAATAAAGAGTAAAATAATTGAATAATCTTGGTAACTAATGAATAGTAATAAGTGTACATTGCTTTCATGTAAATGTCAATTCGGCGCCTCACAGTAGTAGTAGTCAGCGTGACCAATGCTTGGGTATTTACCCAAGATCTTGGGTATTTTGACTTGGTCTTGGGTTCTTGGGTATTCCGTTCAAATCCTTGGGTATTTTATTTTTACTAAGAAAATTAAATATTTTTGTCATAGACGAAGAATTAAAAGTAACAAAGTATATTTCAGTCTATTCAAGTAAGCAAAACTCAACGAAGTGCACATAACATTGTTAATTGAATGTTAATTGCTATAAACATGGGTTCAGAATTGTTTATTTGTGATTTGTGTTGCCAATGATCTTACCTAATTAATGCATTACATAATAAAACTTGATCACTGATCTACTGATAACACTGGCCGACTGAGGGCGTATTTCTCTATCCGTATTATCACCTCATGAATATTAATTTTAATAATTAACACAAACAATTACAATAAAAAATTGGTTTATAAACTGAACTAAAAGGGAAACTATACATGCGAAAAACACGTATTTTTCTAATTTTAATGCATTTTCAGGAAGCTTGGGTAATTTTGGGCAATTTTTGCTGAATCTTGGGTAATATCAAAAATTGTGAGTGGTCACACTGGTAGTAGCAAAGAGTATAAATAGAACAAGAGAGCAAAGTCCCGCTCGTAAAAACGTCCCGCCTGTGTAGGACGCCCACTAACGGTTGTATATTCTTTTTATTACCCAGTGCAGCGCTGCGCAGCACGGTAGAAGTACGCCCGCTATAAACTCAGTAAGCAGAAAACAAAAGTACAGTATCTTGTGGAGAACAGATAAACAGACAAACCGACCCAGAGCCGTAGATAGAGAGAATATGGCCAACTCGGTTTCAATCACGTGACTTACACCGGCCATGTTGTCACCAAAACAAAACAACGCGATAGGGTAGGAAGTTAGCAGTTATTATAAATAATTAATACTATAATTATAATGTGAAATACCGTTATGTTGGGTTTGGGGTTGCTGCAATCAATCCAACAAAGAAACAAAAATGTATTAATTTCCTTAAATTCCAAAAAGGAGGAGGATTTGGGATTTTATTTTAACTTTGCACGGCGATCGAAAAATCTCGCTATCCACGTAGTAAATTTTAAGGCATGTACCGCCGCCCGCCCCACTTCGCGGTAATATATATCCACCTACTACTACTAGGGATAGACAGGCCTAAATTTCGGTACTTCTTCGGAGTAGTACTTAAATCGGCTTAATTACGATGATAATAAAAAAAAAAAGGAAGAATTTTCAAGCAGCAATGATTTATAAAAAGATGCAATGTTGCACTTTGCTGTTAAATTATATAACTAAATTTCCAGAAAGCTACATGAAGAATCAGTCAAATGTAGCTTAATAATTAAAAATAAAAATTGAATCCTCCAATAAAAGCGAAAACTTGTCCAAGGAGCCCTGTGCTATGCAAACATGCCCAATTGTGCTTTACAAATCAATTAATTGTGCAACTAAAGATTTTAAAGATAAAAATATATTTTAAAGATATAGGCCTAATTGTATTATAATATATTCATTGTTTTAATACATATTTTCAATCAAAACGTTTAAATGTTTTACAAATTACAAATCAAAATTTCAATGAATAGTAATAAATAATAATAATAATAATAATAAATAATACAGTAATAATGATAATATTATAACTCACTAATATTATAAACAAAGTGTGGAGAATGCTGCTATATTACTTACAAGGCCTAGCTTCTTGATTATGAATGATTAGGCATATGTTG